TCTCTGGTCTCCTGACAGGTCTTTCAGCTACCACCTAGCTCCTACAAACACACCCACATGCCCCTCCAAAAGGCCCTGGACTTCTTCCTCCAACCCTTACTCCAGGGAGAAGGAATGTCTTGAGTAGGTAGTTTAAGTGCTAATGTACCGGCAGGTTCTGTCCTGCCAGGATTAAGAATCCCAAGAAATCTCGATACAAGCTGGAGCGTGAAAGCAGAAGAAGTGATCCCAAAGTCAAAGGACCACTCCATCCTTCCTTCTCAGTGGGACCTCCACCTATACACACGCCTTCAAAAGCAGTCCTGTTTGTCTTGCATCCAGACAATTAGAAAACATGGCCTCAAGATCCAGTTTAACCCTGCTCTAGAAGATCAGTCCTGGACTGGACTGGTCTCAAGAGCTAAAAGTGCAGGGGAAAGCCTTCCCTTGGGGATGGGATGGAGCAAAGGGCCCAGAGGTGCATGGAAACACCATTTCCCTGACACCTCTGCAGGATCAAATGTCCAATCTAACAGCCTCTGTCTCCAGAGGAGAGGGGGTCTACAAAGCCTCATCTTCCCCAGGCTGTAATTCAAATAAATGTCTGTGGTGCCAGGACAGCTCTGCACTGCCCATCAGGCAGCATCCTCAGAAGAGCGAGGCTAAGCCAGTGGGAACATGCAGCATTGCTGTAACCAAGGCGTATCATCTCCTGACTTGGCCTTCTGATTGCTGCCTACCATGGGAAATGAATAAAGGAGGAGCACAGGACTTCTGAAGTTTCTCAAGCCTTGTGCCTTGTTCTCCCTGTGCTGGAGCTCTGAAGCCCCTATACACCAGCTTAGTAGGAGTTGGAGGCTACAGGGTCTCCTTGCAGTTGTAGCATGATGCCTGTGAAGAGTCTGCAGACTGCCCTAAACAGAGCTGACTGGTACCTCCATTTAAGGCACCAGGTTTGGGGCTGATTTTCCCCAAGGTGCTAACAGGGAAGCGGCAGCTCAGATATACTACCAGGAGCTGAATAACCCCCAATTCTGCCTTTAGGTTTGCAAAACCACAGTCTGACATGAGCCCAATTGTTCTGGGTGAGGAGAGAGAGACAAAACTATCCCCAGTTTTGTACTCTTCCGCCTCCAAGTCCGATACTGGAGCCTTTCCAGAGGCTAATGCAGGATCACAGAGTGCAACTGGGGCGATTCCCTGGGTGCTGCCCGTTTATCTGGGGAGGCTGCAGGCAGCAAGAGCAGCATCTCAAGCGGAGACTGCATGCTCAACGCTCAAGGGAGGGCAACAGGCTCCATCTGACTTCATGTCAATCCTCTGGCAGCCCCGTTCCCAGGCGCTTCTGCCATTCGGTGTGTTCGTGCATCATCCCTCACTGTGTCATTTACAGGAAGGGGCTTGTTCCTTGGATACATTTTTGCAATCAATTAGAGCACAGTATGACTTGGGATGATTTAGTCTTTCTTTAAAAACCCCCTTTGGGGGCATTCAGCCCTTTACGACGATATTAAGGAGAGTTTTAATCCAAATGAATTTTCGAGGAAACCGTGTAATCTAATTTAAAAAGCTCATAGTGCAGTTTAAGAGCTTCATTACTATTAGACTCCAGATCCATCATTACATGGACAAATATTTTCCAAGTGCAATTGACTGATAAATCCAAAGGCCTAATCATAAACTGACTCTGCCTGGAACTAAGCGGGTTACAGCACTTAGTCATGCACGCAAGAATGAAACAAAAGGACAAGTCGAAAAAGCTCTTATGAGGAAAACAAGCCATCGACTTGCTCTCCTCCATTCATCCTTCCCTAGAGCAACCAGCCAACCCAGAAGCAGACTTCCACTTATATTTCAGTGGCTTTGGGAACTCTGCCTACCATTTCCCAAAGGTGTCAAGCCCAAGTGGGCCACACTGATTCAGAGAGTTGCTGGCATCCTCAAAGGATGGAGCGTCCCAAAGCCTAGGACACTATTCATGGCCTTCTTCAAGTAATGGAGAAAAATAGCCTTGCCAGGGAACCAAGCTGAGATCCAGAAGGCGCACACAGATTCCACGTGAAACCTTGGCAAAACCATTAGATTCTTTATGACTCAGTTCCTCGATGTATAACCCGGCATGGATAATACGTTCGGTCTCTTGTCCCTGGCGTTCTTGCAAAGGCAGGTACAGTCTCTGATGCCGCGTGGGGCTCTGGTCTCTGCTGGTGCTGTAGGGTGTGCACACCAAAGTCACCGTGTCCCCTGGGGCTTTATAAAGTCTCCAGCCTGGGATAAAAACTCCCCTGAAGGCGGAGAATCTCACTGTCCTTATTCCAACTCCTCGCCCTCAATCATTTAAAAAGGCTTTAAAAAACCCTGGCGACATAACATGGGGAAGCTGCATGGTTGCAAAGCTTTAGAGGACACAGCCATCCTTTTCCCAGGAAGCAGATACAGCAAGGCCCACAAAAGCTTTTCCTGATGGACTGAATGGAAGGAATAGGCTTTTCCCAGCCAGCAACTGCATTCATGCATATGCATTTGTTAAGGTAGGTAACAGTTATACCACACCAGGGACTATAAAACTCGACTGATAATTTAGGTTTATGGCACAGCTCCTGTTATTTTTTAGCATGTTGCTTCGTGTTATTTCCATAGAAACTACGCTGCCAACTTGTAATTTTCACACTAAGCACATCCCACCGTGTTATTCCCACAATACAAACATCACTGTACTTTAGCATGGAAATGCAGTTATTCAGTGCTTGCTGAAAACTATTCCCTGGTGAGATAAAAGGCCTAAGTTTAGCAAAAGCCAGCTCCCAAGCCAATATTATCTCAAACAGGGGTGTATCCATGTGCATTTGCACATACCAGAGGTCAAAACATACAGACTAAAGTGTGGTTTGACTCTGAGGACTGACTGTGTGAGAATGGCAGGCGTGGATTCAGCAAATCAGCTCCTAGGGCATGCTCGGAGTCCTCTCTGCTTACTTCAGTGAGTATGTTTTCTCCCATTCAGCCTGAAAAGCCAAGACAGAGATGGGAGTGGAGACCTTTTTCTGGCTTGTGCATCATCAATATGATTTTAATCAAAGGTCCTGATCCGATAAAACCCTTCAGCACGTGCTTTAAGTCTATGAAGCACAAGCTTTAGTGCGGGGCTGCGCTGCAGCCTATGTGAAATCTACTGACTCAACGCTGCAACTCAACTGCCTTCAGGTGATTATCTGGACAACCTGACCGGGAGCAGGAGAACTGGGCAAGCGCGGACGCTGAGAAACCTACACGGGCATCACAGACGGCAGCACCGATCTTGCAGAGTCTTCATTACATCACCCTACCCAAGCCAGAAAGAGCCCATGCAATGCTCACATCCCAGGGATACTTGCACGTACTCAGAGCACCTTTATACCTGTGAAGGGACGGCCATCACACAATGCAGCCAAACTGGAAGCTTTCTGCTGCCAGTTCCACAAAATCTTTTTCAGACCAGGCCTTGCCCGTCCTGTGCTGGATGAAGCAAGCAGACAAGCTTCTGACCTGAGCAGGGTTGTGCTCACAGGCATACTCTCCGATGAGTCTCGCAGTCAAAGAGCATAAGATGAAAAGCTCTTTAGAGATGGGGAAATGAAGCAGGGAGAGATGAAGTGACTTGGTCAGGAACAGCGAGGGGGTCTGTGGCAGAGGTGGAAACTGAATTGAGATCTTCTGCCTTCCAAGGCAGGCCCTGAACCACACAGCCTTACTCCCTTTCTGGTCTATTTTAGCAACGTAATCAGTAATGGTATTTTAATACAGGGGGATGCGAGTGTTTCTCCCTACGCTCCTTCCAGGCTTAACTGTTACAGTAATGGCTTTCAGGGGAAATTTCCCTTCAAAACCACCTTGGAGAGTCTTTCCTTGCAGACGTGGCATTCAGAGCGCACACGTGAAAATGACCCATTGCTTCTGCTGTAGACTCAGTCTGAACTAAAGCATTCACTCTTCAAAGCAAGCAAACAGTAAGAACAGAACTGCTTCCAGATCACTCTTTTCCAGTCTCCGAGTGGAGTGTGAGAACTATCGTCCGGTGCGACAGGAGGCTATTATTAACCAGATCTTCAACTAGACAGGATAGATTTTGTTCCCATCTGCTCAAAAAGTAGAACAGATGCAAAGTGCTGTCAGTCACTGGGACTTAGGGAGGCTGCAGCAGCCACTCAGAAGTGACTGAGCAACACAATTGTGACAAATTAGCCTTAACTATTTTCCATACCAAAGACAACACCCATGAGAAATTAAGTTGCTCTCCTGCTCTTACTGATCCCACATCCGTAACTAAATCACATGAAATCTGTTCATAGCAGCAGTGCACTTCTGACCAGAATCGTTTAAGGGCCATTGATGGTCCTAAGACAGCGGTGCTCAATCATTTTGCCCAGTGGGCAGTGCCTGGCCTGTCTGGGGGCCACATTCAGCTAGTGGTCCCAATCTGGTGCCTGGGGAGGGTGTGGAGGGACCCTATCCAGCCAGGATCTGGCTGTGTAGGGGTAGGGGGATGCAGGGAGGGAACATGACTCAGCCCTGACCCAGCTGCATGGCAGGGAAGGAGGCATTGCCTGGCCCCTACCCAGTCATGGAGGGGGAAGGGGAAGTGGCCCAGCCCTGATCCAGTCGCGCAAGGGAAGGGGTTTTGGCTCAGCTCCAACCTGCCATGAGGGGCTTGGGAATTTGTCAGTGCGGGCAGGGTGATGGTGTTAATTGCCATTGCTCCTCTGCTGCCAAATTTCCCAACCCATAGGAAGTCCCTGGGCTGGATGCCATGGCTCTGCAAGGCACACTTGACCTTCAGGCTGGATGTGGAGCACCCCTGTCCTCAGACATGAGAATACTGGGCATACTTCCACCAGCTTCACCTACTGAGATCTGTGCAGTGACTCCCAATGGACATGGGTGGGACACAACAGCATGAATGCCTCTTCGCGCCCAGCTGAGCTTCCGGCTGTCCCCCGCAACCTGAATTCAGCAATGCCGAAAGCTGTTGCTGACTGATTTACCTGTTGTTATTCTTCAGTTTAACATGATCACCAGGTTCCAAGATCTGCCCGTTCTTCAGCCAGGTGATCTGAGGCGGGGGTTCGCCTTGCGCCAAGCATGTGAAGATGGCAGTGGTCCCCACCGGCCTGGAAATGGACTGAGGATGCTGCACAAACTCGGCAGGGGCTGCAAAGAGAAGGAAGGCAAAGTGTAAGGTGACCGTCCCGTCCCACTGGCATCAAACACATTCTAATTGCTCAGTATAAGCTGGCCCTCATCTATTTTGTTAGCGCAGCACCATCAGATAAAGGGAACCATGGTAGTTTATCGGCTCCAAAGGTAGCTGGGTGGCGGGGGGGAACGTGACAGGCAAGCATGGTCTCGAGATCACTCTAGATTGTGCTTGCCCATCTGTAACCATGTCTGTAATCAGCTAAATAATAGAGCTGGGCTGCTTTATCGGGGAGAGAGAATTTTCAGTAATTGCACGAGCTGCGGATGCCAGGCACAGTAATCAGTTAACAGCCCATCGCCTTGTGGGCTCAAGAAATCTGGGCACGTGCTTGTTTACAGGGGGGAACGCTCTTACCTTATCTACACAGCCCCGACTGCCATGGCTTTGCAGTGCTGGTATAGCACCTTGTGCCAGTGGCAGGCCAACCCTGGCCTGTCTGATGGAGGCTATTTAAAAATGACAAAAGAAAGGACCAGATGGAACTTAATTGACTGCAGTTCATTCAAATGCAGCGACAAAAATCACCCCAAGACAGAGAATATTTCTAAGGACCTCAGTGCCAGTGCCCCTCTCACAGTCTGCCATGCCCCGTCTGCACTAAACACAGTCAAGAAAAGCAAATGACATATCAGCTCTGCGCTCTCTGTTCAAAATCGCCTCGAATGGCTGGACCTGCAGATTTGGAGGCAGGACTCGTGGGTTCTAGTGCCAGCTCTGCCACTGGCTTGTTAGGTGCCTTTGGGCATGTCGACTCTGAAACAAGTACAATGGCACTTAACTGCTAATGACAGCAGGAGGCTTAATTAATGTTGGCAAAGAGCTTTCAGAGGCCTGAGTACAATTACGGCAATTCTCTAGCTCCCTGCCCCAAAGAGCTTATAGCTAAGTAGGCACAAGAAGCAACACGGAGAGACAGATAGCGTGGGGAGCACAAGGAGATAAGACAAACCAACACCGCAGTGCATTTCCTCACCCCATCTGCACCAAGCCCAAGGAGAGCGTGAGCTCATGTACTGTGATGTTCATTCAGAGATCTCGAAAGACTTTGCACAGGACAGGAAGGGTTATTATCCCCATTTGACAGATGGGAAAACTGAGCATTGCAGGGGGAAGTGACTGGCACAGAAGTCAGGGGCCGAGGCTGGCAGTAGTACTCTCGTCTTTGACTCCCAACCCAATCTGCTTGCAACCCCACAGCCTTTGCCAGCTGCCGGCATTTTGACAGCAATGCATGGAAGAGCTTTACAAAGCAGGAAGCTTGGAGCATCAAAAAGGCAAACAAAACGCTAGGGATGATTAAGAAGGGGGTTGTAAGCAAAACAGACAATATCAGCATGCCCTTACAGATCCACTGTATGTCCACACCCCAAAGCCTGTATCCCGTTTTGGTCTCCACACCTCAAAAAGGAGAGAGAAGAACCGGAGAAGGTACAGAGAAGAGCAACATGGATGATCAGCGGTATGGATGGGGCTTTCATATGAGGAGTGACTAGAGAGGCCAGGCCTATTAGGTCGCTTGAGAGGAGACATGGTAAGGGTGTACAAGATATTAAATAGTGAAGAGACAGTAAGTAGGAATTTATTATTAGCTGTCTCACAATACAAGAACTAGGGGTCACGAGTTGAACCTAGTAGGTAGTAAGTTTAAAACTAAAAAAAGGAAGTTCTTTTTCACCCAGCGTGGAATTAAAGCGTGGAGCTCGGTGCCACCCGATGTGGTGGAAGCTGCCAGTTTAGCCAGATGCAAAAAGGGACTGGACAAAGTCTTGGAGGAAAGATGCATCGGTACCTCTTGACCGTGGGAGTTAGGGGCACAACCTCTGAATCAGAACTTCCTAGACCTTAAATTCTGGAGGCTGCAAATGAAAGAAGAGCAGAGAAAAGAAATATCCTGGTCATACCCTCCTAACTCTCCCTTTCAGCATCCACTCTCTAACCCTGTGTGACACAGGAGACAGGGCAAGATGGACTTATGGTCTGACCAAAAAAACAGTAGTTCTTATGTGCTTATGTTGGAAAGACACTCTTGTCGGCAGATCCCACGTTGGCTACAGACTCATTCACTAATGACAACTCATAGCACCCTCATGCGCCTGGTTCATCAGCCTGGTGCCCCCAGCACCTGCCGTGATCTCCTGTGTGGAGGCAGACCCCGCAAAGCCTGAAATTGCCGCTCCATTTACTACAATCACAGCCATTTCTTACTTTTAAAAGCAGGATTTTAACAGAAAATGATGGCGCCCCCCCATCCAGCTGCTCGTGTTAGCCTTAAAATCATTTGTCACAATATAGCAACACATTAGGATACAGAAGGCAGGGTATGAACGACATTGCTGAATGGCTGAGTTTATACAAGCAGCTATGCTTCAAAGGGCAAGGCTATAATATAGTCCACATTGCCACTGAGACCTGAAAACCAGTTGCAATCTCCAGCAGGTCCAATGAAGACAAACAGATGAGAGCCACAGGGCTGTAATGAATTTATAGACAAGAGTCTCTGAGTAGATGGCGGACATTCATCCTCTTTTTGACAAAGCAGGACTATTTAGTGAGGACCACTCATGGCTGACGCCAGGCGTTTCCAAACCAGAAATTAGTGTACACTGCCCCGAAAGATGCCTGCATCCCACTGCCCAGAAACCTCCGCACCTCCGTTCTTCCCTACAAGGTGTCAGCCTGGATGAATCCCCCCAGGTTGGAAAGTGAAGACAAGACCCAGATGCCTCTTTCTAACTAAAACATAAGCTGCAGGTCTGAGGCAGATTGAGAATGGGACAAACCTTATTCCTCATGAACAAAAATCTCTGCATGTATAAAAGAGTTGGCTCTCATGAGAGGATCTGGGATTTCCATGGGCTGCTTCTTTGGTGTAGTCGAGTGACAGCGACAATAGCAGTTCTTATGAACTCTGAGCATGATGAACTGGCTTATCCTATGAACTTATAGACGTAGACATCATGTGCGAGCCTAGCAATACTTTACAGGCTTGTACAACATAAAGACAGAGGAGCAGCTATTTCACCGAATGACTCAAATATGCATGTGTGTGGACGTGCATAGAGGTATATATACATATATTTATGTGCAGGTGCATAGAGAGGTATATATACAAATTTGCTACCACAAAAATCACTGCATCGGGACCTAGCTAAAAAATTTACCCCTTGAGACCCACTTCATTCCACCCCCACTTCCTCCCCACAAAGGATGCAGGGAAGGAAATCAGTTTGCTAGCCTTTTACAGCTGTCTAGCCACCCATGTTTCCTCCAGCCAGATGCTTACCTTGGCCCCTATCCCTCTGGCATCAGGGGGTTGCTGCTCCCATTCTTACGGGAACAGTCACTATCCTGAAGCCCCAGATGGATGCTGGGCCGTTGGTTCATTACCAACTCGGAGGAAAAACCTGCTCCTGCATTGTAGCAGCAGGCTCCCATGCAAGTACTGACCGGTTCCTACCACCCTGCTTAGCTAACGTGCGCTAATTAGAGCATTGCCTGAGGGGGAACGGTGGCATGATGCCTCCAAAGGGCCCTGGCGCAGGTGACAGCGCGGCAGGAGGCGCTGGGAAATGTGGGGAGGGAGCAGTCTGCAGACAGGCCGGCCTCGCCAATTATTTGATGGGAGGTGGATGAGGAGGATTCGTTTGGTGAAATGATTTGGTCCGTGCTGTGTCTCCCCCAGGAGCTGTGAGCAGGGAGAGGAGCAGCTCCCTCCTAAGGTCTCCAGGCGAGTGGGGGGAAAGGGAGAAGGGGAAATAGTTGAGCTGGCACCTCCCTAGGGTCTGGCATGCCCTGAACAGCAGGGGAGTGGTTGGGAGATGAAAGGGTTGGCAGATCATTCCCTTGCTCCAGCCTAACCGAGCACCAAGCCAGTGGCTCCCCTAGCACCATCTCCATCCTAGCCCTATGTCACCCATCGGAGCTGCTCCCAAGCGTGCTGCGGTGGCAGAGAGCAGAGGCCCACCCCTCCGGAAATCTGGTAGTAAAAGCTTTCATGGGGATGCTGGGGGATGGGTCAACAAAAAACAACGCCCAACCCCCTTCCCCAATTATAGGCGATGTCATGGCCGCTGCTTCGAGGCCAGAGCAGAGCTGGAGGGATCCACCGCACAAGCCAAGTCCTAAAGATCAGAAGCCCCGAGAGCAGCGACACAGAAAGCCCCACCGACGCGCCCCTCTCCCGCAGAAGAGCTCCCTCTTTCATTTTTAATAATCAAAGAGAAGTGGAGCATGGAAGATGTGACTTACGTTAGCAGTAGGGGGTGTTCTGCCGAAGGAATGCATTGTCAGGGAGTCCTGCCGGAGCCCGGGACTACTAATGAACCTAATCTTAGAAACCTAATGGACACGGATTTCTAAAACCTCCGGCTGAACCATCCCTGGGTTCCAATCAATGACTTTTCTCTCCCTCTCTCTGTTTCTCTCTCTCTTTTTCTCTCCTCACATTTTCTCCTCCTAGATCAAGTTAATTTATAAATTAAATTAAATTTGAGAACAATTTTGGGAAAAGGTAGAAGAATGATGCTGGGGGGGGGCGGGGAAGGGAAGGAGGAGGTTGGCGGGATTGTTCCCGGCAGTGAATGGCTGCTTTGTGCTGCTCAAATGATGTACAGTGAGAGCATGACACATTCAGGACCTGATTTTCAAGAGTTTCTTAACCTCCCCTTTCCTTCGTGCTGGTGCAATTCTTCAAGTGCAATTGTTTTGCAAGCCATTCGATGCCTCCCTGCTTCCACAGGAGCTCGCAAATCATTTCACCCAGGTGCAAAGAAACCCCTAAAGATGCCAAACGAGGACACGGCTGGCTTCCAACTCCATTATTTCTGTTTCATTAGAGCCCTGCCACTTGGCTTTTTGCCTTCCCCCAAGCCTAGGACCCATGGCTTGTTCCAAGGAAAGCATATTTTACATGTGGAGCAAGCCATCCGGCATGCCCCTTCTGCAGTCGCTC